CGACACGGAGACAACTGGATCCGCTGGAGAGGCACAAACAGCAAGAGCTTGTTTGCACACCCTTTCTCCTCATGCAAAAGCTTGAGGTGTGGGACCTTCCAATGAAAAGTTTCACGTCTTAAAGCGTGGAACGTCTCGTTGCAAGGACTTTTAACACGCACGACAGCGCTGTGAACCGTGCCTTTCTTTAGGTGGTTCCTCAGGAGGTCCTTCATCCTCTTTGAAGGCCATCTGCTATGCAGTATTCATGCACGTTGCCTGAAGCGTTGCTGCAGCGCTGCGTTGCAGAGTCAGAAGAAGAGTGGCACAGGGCAGTGCCCAATGCCTGCAGCAGTAGGGTTGGGGATTGTGTACTCCCCTTTGAGTCGCTCCTCCTTGACGCCGTACGGCCAGGCCCTGCTGATTCGCGGCTTTGTCTCGTGGGGCACTGCAGCCAAAGAACGCATCCACATCGCATAGACAACCCCATAAGGTCTTCAACAGGGGTACGGCTATATGGTTTACCGTTTAAGGCCTGGCGAGCCTAGTACGCCCTGGCTGTCTGGATCTCCTGGTCCTGGCCCCGAATTTCCCCCCAAACAAGTCTCACTATTCCAGCCCGGTGGCGGCTGCTCCATGACGTGGCGTGTGTACCGCACAGTCTTGCCTTCCGCTTGCTTCACAGGCCTCGGCCGGTAGCGACCTGAAGCACAAAGGCGCTCGTCCCCGGTTTCTCAGGCAATGCTAGTCCCCACACCACACGCCAAAATCCTAAGCCTTCTAAACCATGCCTTACCCAGTATAATAATCCCAAACCTCTGCTGCTCGCGAACCTGCCGAGCACTAGAGGCTTAGGATTATTATAGGGGGGGTTGAACCCACAACCCTGGAAGCGCAGGGAGGGGCCCTGCCCTCCGATACCACGACAACAACAGCAGGGCCCAAGCAAGCGCCCTAGTGCACGAAACTAAGCAGCGCCACAAAGGAGGCCAAATTAGGCGCGATAAAACTGCAGTGTGCATAAATGCGATCCAGTCTGTGCGCCAATGAAATAAAGTTTACTAGAGAAGGCGCAGCGGCTGCTTCTATTCACTGGTGATGAAGATTGCCTACTGCACCATACAGGAGACGGTAATAGAGTGTGACAGCAGGCGCACCTTTCCACAGGCGCTGTCGAATTAAGAATTTACAACGGTCTCCGTCGACGGCCACCGGACTTATGGCCTGCCAAACAGCAGCAGCAGAAGCAGCAGCACGCATGGTTACTGGTTATGTGTTATCGGCCTTTTTTCCATGAAGCCCTCAGCTGCAACAGGGAAAGCCAAAAAGGCAAAGTAGAGGAGCACAAGCAGCGGGGGAACACCAGGGAACTGTCTGCAACCGCACCCGCTGTCTGTCCCTCGAATCCGGTATAGCGAAGTGAACACACTTTATGCCTGAGACAAGAAACCGCACTCGTGAAGTCTATACCCTAGGCCTTCCCAACCTGATGTCGTCAGAGCGGTCCAGCCCTAAGCCTAGGCGGAGGTAGGAGAGAAAAACGAAGTCAGGCACGGCAGCAGCAGGAGCCCGCGGCATTTAAAGAGGCCCAGCTGCACCTTGAGGAAAACGTGCTTACGGAGGAGACTGCAGGTGAGTTTGTAGAGGTCAAAGTCCGTCCTGTAGAGGTATTTCATGACACGCTGTCTCCGCGCCAGCCATATCGAAAGAATGCGCTTCTTAGAGTGGTCACGGCGGTGACGCAGCAGGTGCTGACGTGCGTTGAGAATCTTCTCCGTAAGACATGCGACTGCAGGCAATCACCCACGTCTGCATCAGTTGTTCTCACACCCATCCCTTACCACTCGTGAGGCTTGTAACTGAGAAATTGGGGGCTGTTCGTTTGCAGTGTGCATGACCATGCAGACGCATGGACCTGCTAGACTCGGGGTTGCCTAAACAAGCACAGCGTGTGTATGCAGAGTGAGGCACCACCAACAGGCAACTTGAGGTGCCTTCGATCTGCGGGTTGGAGCATTTTGTTTAGCTATGTATGCAACCCCACGCACTCTGGACGGCGCTGCTGCCGGTGTCGAACGGCCGGCGCTGCAGCTGTCTGCACAGCTGCAGCTTCCTCCATTGGTGCAGTTGCTTGTTTGACGCGCAACGCAAAGAAAGACAGTTCCGCAGACCTTCGTTGAGACTTTCCAGGTCTTCCTCCCGCCACCGTTCTATGTATCCTTCAGGCACCTGCGGTAACACAGCGTTGTCCCAACCCCACCATGCGCATGCAATACACGCCTCGCAGCCCTCCTGTGTCGCTAAACTAAAATACAGATGTTTAGGACCCGGAAGGCACCCCCTCTGATTTCTGCAGATTGCCTCAACATGCACTGGTGGTGCAACAGGATTCACAAAGCAAGATTAGGGGTCTGGGGATAGAGGAAAATGCTCAAGGTTAAGAGGGAAATGTGAGCAGGTGTGACTTGTAAGAATGATATTTCAAACTTAGTGTTCTGGAGCTGCATATAGAGCTTCCGCCCCATAGGCTAGGGTTATAGGGTTACTTGTTCTCTTTCGCTGAGGAACTCCTTCTCTGCCTGGATGTACCACTCGGACTTTGGCGAGCGAACTTTAAGGGGCACAACTCCGGCAAAACGGTGCACTTTTACACGCGCCACAAACCGCCGCTGCAGGGAGCTGTGGGGTGTCCTCAAGGCCCAGCTGAGAAAACCCCCTGGAGGTTCTGCCACGAGGGTTGAGGCTCCACCGAACACAGAAGCAGGAGACACAACTGGAGACTCGGAAGCTGACCCCCAAGTCCTCGAGGTGAAGGTTTCAGGTTCGCAGCGAGGCCTTCCCT